TGTAGTGGCGTCAGCATTAGCCAAACGTCGCCACTTCGGGATTTGGGAAGGGATTATAATACAAAACACAAAAGATAAAACGCGTAATTTTGCTCTTATTGTGGGGATCGAACGAAAATCTACCACAATGGGCCAAACAGAATTGGTGTGTCAGAATTAATATCCTATTTCTGTCTCTTATAGGTTATGGCACTTTCTTATGAAAATTCAATGTAACGTTTGGACATTAGGACGTCAGTTTCAGGCTCCTTGCATGCCATCACAGCCAGTTTAGACATCAGCTTCAGCTTATATTTGACTTCACTTTTCCGTCGCACCCTACATTGTCCCCATTTTCTCCGCAGGCCGGCAGGCGGAGTGAACGCCTGAGTAGGCGTCTTGTTATGATTAAAATGGCATACAAAATACTATCAAGTCACATACGTGTTCACACAACCTCACACACAAATCATGACACACTTTCTATAAAGTAGCATGTTATCCTTTCTGTGAAGTAACATGTTGTGCTTCGAGAATATATAATATATGGACGAATTTACAGAATGTAGATTATGTTATGAAGATACATTTCAAAAGATCAATTTATACAAGCGGAGTAGTTTATATGTAAGTCCAAATTGCAGAAGAAAAATTATTGTGAAATATACTTACAAGTCTCTTCTCTTTTCCAGAGATACTATCTTCTCCACCTTTCACAGCATCAACCGTTGGTACTGAGCCGCGTATCAAGAAACGCTTTGTGTTACTGTTATCGAAGCCTTCAAGATTGTTTGCGAAACGCTTTGAGAAGCAGCTCTCATCAAAATGCGCTGAACACAACCATATTCTTGACGAATATTTTGTGGGGTCGAAATCACATCGATGCCTTCGAACAAACCGTATCCATTGCTTTCGTACAGACGGATCTGTCGGAAAACAATGCATACTAATGCCTGGTGTATCACCACTATTTGTGCAGGACTTTTTATTTGGCCCTCCAGCGACACAAAACACTTTAGATTTTCTTTTATTCCCCTCATTTGCACATGAATGACTTGTTTCCTCCATATTGTGCGGCTATGTAAATGAAGCGTGCCCTGCTCTTTACGTCACAGGAAGTAATTTGACGCCTTTTGGCCGCGCGCAAACAGAACCATTTTTGAAGCCAAAATCGGCATGTTTAACCCCCGATAACTTTTGTCGGATTCATTTTTAGAACTTGCGGTTTTCAAAATCGTTTTTTACACATTAAAAACTATAGGAATATACGGGAAAAAATTTGGTTTCATAGGCACTTTAACAAAAAACGAAGACATTCATGAACACTATACAAGACACCGCAGAGATCTCCAAATACCACGAGCAAAGACGAACAAGGGAAAACAACGACCAACGTATCAAGCGTCTATAGACTTTAACAATCTAGAACGTGAACTAAAAAACGCTACTTCATTACATAACTTTAAAAA